CAAACAAAAGACGTTGTAGTAATAGTGGTGGTGTTTTCAGAAGTGGCAACACAACTTTCCCCTTTCCACAACATAGTTGAAACTTAGGAACTGCACTATGTTTTTGCTTGTCAGTTTTTTCTTGATACCACATAAGTGCCCCACATTGTGTGCATTCAACTATAGGATCACCAATATCAGAATAACCTATTTAAATGAAACGTAGTTGAGCAATTGGTTTATATTAAATAATAAAATTATAACTAAAATCTTTCATATTAAATAATAAAATTATAACTAAAATCCACATTAAATCATAGCAGGTATCAAAGTGCAACATGTAATGGACAACGTCAAATTGATATGTATAATGAATTTAAAGAAGAAATAAAGTTGGTTTTAATGATAAATACCAATATTTAAAGAATCAAATGATGTAGAATTGGAGTCATAGACATCTTCGTCATCATAGCTGGAACTTGAGTCATAATTTGCATCTGCGGCATTGAATTCACATGAGCTATCACTGAGAGAATCATCTGTTACCGTCTCATCACCAGAGTAATCACTCTCAATGTTAACATCTGGAGTTGAAGTGAATGTTGTAGGTTCTTGTATATGAATATTGCTTATGGATGAAAAAGCCAGATTATGATTCTCATTTCCAAAATAATTGAAGAGTTTGACCGTCATGGATTGAATAACACCTACATTCAACTGTTTTTTTGATTTATGAACATAACTACTTGGATGTTCATGAGGTTCCATATTTCTTTGATTAGAAAATGAGGAAGTTATATCAGAAAGAGGTGTAACAGTCAACTGTTTTTTTGATTTTTGAATAGAACAACTTGGCGGTGCATGAGGCTTTATGTTTCTTTGGTTAGAACATGAGGAAGCTATATCAGAAAATGGTGTTTTGAAATGCGAAAAGGATGGAGAATTTATCCTGAAAGGACCCCCACTGTTATTGCTAAGGTTGTTATGAAGTTTGTAAGATTGGGGCATCTTACCTTCCATAATACTTTTCCTCCGCTGTCGTGCTGGAGCAGCCAGTTGATTTGTAGAAACAATATTGAAACTCTTCATTGTACTTGAGTTGCTTGATGCAGATGCTGGTGAAGGTGAACTCATATTTCTTTCATTAAAGATAGATGAAGTTAAATCAGATAGTGGTGTTCTGATATTAACCATGGTTGGAACATAATACCTTTGAGAGTTTTCAATGGGATTGATTGTGTTTTCATCGGTTCTTCCTTTTTTCAATCTTTTATCTTTAAGAATATGCTTCCTTTTACGTCTTGCCATTGCTGCAACTTGTGGTTCCATAGTGTTGGTTAGGTGATGCAAAAATGATTGGGTAGAAAATCACTTTGATTGTATGGTTGTCATTCAATTTTTTTTGTTAACCACATAAAATGATTGTAGACATAAAATGAATAAAGTTTTTGGTTATATGATAATAAATATAATTGTTAATACAACATTCACGGTTCCAAAATTTTGAAGTAAAATACTGAAGTCAACATAATACCAAGTGATTATTTTTGTGAACCATTTTAATTATTAATAATAATAATTAATAATAATAATAACGTTAAATAGTGTTAAGTGTTATTTCAAAATTTAATTAAAAATGTTATAATTATGGACAATCAAGTACCAATAAGAAAAGGTAACTTTCCAGATTCTAATCATTCTGCCAATTAATCTTGAATTGAAAAGAAAAGCAATGGTCAGAAAAAATCATTATAGTTTCACTTTAGAAACCGAAAATGAAGTGCATCATGAATAGTAACTACTCAAGCATGCATTTGATAGGCTTGAAACGTTTTTTGATATAGCCATACATTATATTATACCATTAATTTATATAAAATGATATTATCTTATTCCTGTTTATAAAATTATTGTAACTTTTTTTCGATTTATAAGCATGTTGAATTCGTGTATCCATTATTAAAATATATGTAATTTACTATTATTGATATAAATAATTTTATAAATAGTTTAATTTATTACATTTATAAAATTATTTGTAATTTATTCACCTTTATAAAATTAATTATAAATTATTTAATTTATTAAAATGATTGTATCAATAATTTTTTATTTTATCATAAATTTTTATGATTATCATTTATCATTAAATTTTCATGATTACCATTTAATATTTTTTTATCATGATTACAATTATAAAGTTAATTTGAAAAGATTATGATATATTTTAGTTATTTCATAAACTTAAAAAAATTATTAAATCTCAATTGATTTTGTTTTGTTTTATTAACCTTTTTATAGAAATTGAAATAATTTATTTTAGGTCAAATAAGAATATAAATAATAACAAAATAATATTTATTCTTACATTTATAGAATGATAAATTAAATATTTAAGATAAACATTAGAGTTCTTATTTACTTTATCTTTTGTATATTTATAATATACTTTTTTGTTAATTTTATTAACAATATATTTATAGTTAACAATACATCCTTTAAACTACGTTATTTTTTTCAAGAATATAAATGTAACATTTCAAAAAATATACACAAATATATTTAGAAGTCGATAGAAAATTTTATTGGTTAAATTATAATTCCATTCAAAATTTATTGATCATAAATTTTTGAAATCAAATCATGCATAAAAATAAAATGTATTAATGTGACCATTCAAAATATTTTCTATATATAATAAAAATAAATAATATTAATACCTCCATTCAAAAGATATATTTGTAAAGTTTTGATTTAATTTTTTTCATATCTTTATATATTCTAATGTATATAATATTCCTACAATATGAAAAAGTATCAAACCTATAATATTAAAAGAGAATTCAAATTTTATTGATCATAATATTTTATGGAATCAAATCATGTATAAAAATTAAATATATTTATGTCACCATTCAAAATAATTTCCATATAAGTATAATAAAAATAAATGATAATAATGTCTCCATTCAAAAGATATATTGGTAAAATATCAAATTAAATGGTACTCCAATATTTGATTAAAAAATTGTAATATTTGTTTTTAATATTGTATAAAAATATATTAATTAGTCGTACTTTAAAAAAATAAATCGTAAATATTTTATTAAAAATGGTAATATTTGTTTCTAAAATTATAGCAATTAAAATATTGTCTCTAACGCAATGATAAATAGTGGGTATTTTTAAATCGTGAGACAGATCAGCAATGTACTTCCTTAGCATTTAAGTTGATTAGGAGAAAATTTCCAATTATGGTCTCTAACGCAATGATAAATAGTGGGTATTTTTAAATCATGCAATGAATAATATTCCATTTAATTATAATAGATCTAATTTGACCATTCCAATTCCTTCCTCATTAACCGTGAGTCAAACATTGGAATTGGAATTCAAATATAAATAAAATTCGAATATAAATAAAATAAATTAATAAATCAAATAAATAAAAAATAGTGTAAAATTATGATAGATTGACCAAAATTAAATGCCAAATGAATATGGTAACAACATAGTGTTGATTAGTCTATTATACCCTTGGAATAAGAAAAAGTTATAACATCTAATCAAAAGGTTAGACTTGGAATTTCCAGGTACTTTACTTTTAATAGATTGATAATAGACATACATGGTATGACATGTTTATTGGGTGGTTGTCTAAGTGACACGATTATGTTTTATTTTGCATCATGTATGATATGTTACATGTATCGTGTGATCGTCTTAATGACAAATAAAGATTTTTAAGTGATTGTCTTAGGGACGGATAAATTTTTTTGTGTGATTGTTTTAGTATCGGGTAAAAATTTATGTGTAGTTGTTTTAGTGGCGTGTAAACATCTTTGTATGGTTGTCTTAGTGGTGGATAAAGATCCTTGTGTGGTTGTCTTGGTGTGATTGTTGTTGTTGTTATTCTTGTTGTTGTTAATCTTGAGTTAATTCTTTATGTGTATTTTGTTATGGTTACAGTTCGATATTAATAAATTTGGTGAATTTTTCTGTTATTTAATTCTATTGGACATGATATGCATATATTTTTCTAATTTTTAACTCTTGTTTAGTTTATTTTTAACATAAATAACTGACCCTTATAACAAAATTTTAGATACGAATATGGAGTTTTAAGATTGATTGATGTTTGCTTATCGCACGATTGTGGGAAAGAAAGGATTTTTAAAATAAAAATATTCTAGTAGTTTAGAAATTGATCGCATATTATATATTATGTTATTTATTTATTTTCTTTCGAATGAATTGGAAATGCGGTGATGTACTGTATATGAATTTGAATTGTCACCGAATTTGATTAATTTCAAAACCTTTTATTTTATTTAAATAAATTGTTTTAATAATTTATAAGTTATGTTGTAATCAATATAGTTAGTCAATTTATGTTTGATTCATGGGTGAAAAACTTGAAAGGTGTAGAACTTATTCTACAATATCTCAACTACTCTAGGAAAATGACTTTTGTTTAAAAGGTGAAAGTCTATCTATGAACAGTTACATAGATGTTGACTATGGAGACTCAAGGAGTGATATAAAATCTAGGTCGAACTATTGTACTTTTAATGTGGAACTAAATTAATTGAAGGACTTGGGTGAAAAACTTGAAAGGTGTAGAACTTATTCTACAATATCTCAACTACTCTAGGAAAATGACTTTTGTTTAAAAGGTGAAAGTCTATCTATGAACACTTACATAGATGTTGACTATGGAGACTCAATGAGTGATATAAAATCTAGGTCGAACTATTGTACTTTTAATGTGGAACTAAATTAATTGAAGGACTTAGAAACAAAGTGTAGTTACTCAATCAAGATGGACTATTGTACCTTCTTGTGTTGAATTAAATTATTTGAAGGACTACAAAGTGTAGTCACTCAATCAAGACGGACTATTGTACCTTCTTCTGTGGAATTAAATTATTTGAAGGACTACAAAGTGTAGTTACTCAATCAAGAGCAAAAGTAAGACTTAGAGCTATAGTACAAAGTTAAGGGTATGAATGTGAAGGACATTAGGCATTGTAGTGTATCCCATTAGAATAATCTGACTTTCTTTTTCTACTCATTGCCTGCCCATGCTTATCATCACTTAAAGCTTCATCTTGCTCTGAACCAGTAATAATGTGGTCCATTGGGACATGAATATTATCACCATCAGAAACACCAACATTCTTATCCTCATGACTAAAAGCAATAACACTCTCCTTGCCTATTGCATTGCAGTGTTCCATTTCTTTGTCGATTGGTTCATCATATAAGAGATATACTGTAGTCTTCTCAACAATGAATCCATCCCCCAAAACAACCACAATTTCTACTTTGTTACCAGATTCTAGATTTGATGTTATGCTCTTCCAATCTTCATCCTCAAAGGAGGTAAGTGCATCTTTTGTATATGCCTGAATGGTTGTCTTTGTGTAATTTATGATCAACACACCTTGACAACCTTCTGATGCTATGTTGTCCGAGGAAGAGTAATAGACAAGGAACAACGTCATATTCTTCAGGTTACTCCCCTTCATTGTTGGGACATCAAATATTATAGAACAACCTTTACTACTGATGGTTGACCAATCAGATATATTGTAACATGGGAGCAAAATTGGATCCCAAATTCCATCCGCAGTCTGCACGATGAACAAATAAGTAAATGACTAAAATTACAAATTAAATGAAAATAAAGTTCACTATAGGCTATAGCTTGTAAACATTTATGTTGAAAATACTCATAAGAGACATGCAAACCTGTAAAATGTTGTCTTGGGCAATATTGGTGGATTGGAGTTTCATTCCCATTTGAATCAAGAAAGATTTCAAGAAATTATTAGACTTTGAAGTGGAAGCTTGAGCAATGTAATCGTTAATCAAACGAGAAGGAGTTGAAGTTGCACTTGGTTCCAGTTTCTGACAATTTGTGGCTTTCAATGCATCCAAAATTCTTGCTACATCTTGAGACAGTTGTGGTTTTGAGTCACATTTCATACAAAGACCAAGAGATGACATGGGCGCAAATGTTTGAACGAGGGATATCACATTCTTTGATGGTGACATCCAAGATCGAATGAGAGAAGGAAATACATCACGTGAAAATCCTTCAAAGCCAGGTAAAGAAATATATTTAATGCTTTTAGATCTTACTATTGAAAAGGACACTTTTGTTATAGCAGTCTTATCCACAATTAAGGTTGTCAAGGATTTCATACATTCCAAATCCTCCTCCAATTTGTCGATCAAGGAACATCCAGAAAGAATAAAGGTTTCTAGAGATTTTAAACCATAGATGCTTCTCGGAAGTGTCCCAAGACCTGTGCAGTTTGACAAGTTTATAAGAAGAAGTTTATCGAGATCTCCAATGGTATAAGAGACGGAAGATAAACTTGGACAGTCTTTTAGTACTATCTTTTCCAAATTAGGCATGTAATCAAAGTTTGGGGTTTCAGTCAACTCCAGAGAATGACTAAGATTAAGAAATTTTAGATTCTCTAACATCTGCAACAAAACATAGCCACACATAAATAGTAAGACATGATACATTTTAGAAGTGTTTGTACTTGGTGTTATACAGAGGTGCAATTAACATACTACACCATGATATTATTTAGACATAGTTTTATTACTTTTACTTGTCAACAGAAAGAGAGAGTGAATTGGGAGGAGGCGTTTTTGTTCCGGCAAGAACTTGCTGCTTCTAGGTAATTAGTAATATGATGAGTGGGAAAGGAAAAAAAACATAAGCAAAATTTAAAAAAGAACATGTACCTTTTGGCTCCAATTCCATGAATATTTGAGATTACTATATTTTAACTCCATAGCAACTAAACTTCCTTTCTGCAATTCTACAGGAACATATGTTAATGGAAATCCATGCCAGTAGAGCCACCTAAGTTCCTCTGAAAGTTCATTAAAATTTCCATCTAGTTGTACCCGAGCAAGTTGAAGTAATCTGAGTTTATTCATCTTCTTAAATGCTTTGGTATCTAGACAAACTTTGTTTGTTTTTGGAAACTCTAAAGCCAGTCCCTTGACAGCTTTTGTTCCCTGAAATTAAAAATATATATATGTATCAGAGAAAAAATAGCTTTGATATCTGATAGCTAAAAAAAATGTAATGCCATCAATAATTTTGACATTAGAAACCCATGTTAATAATTGATTTATCCAAGTTTAGTCCTCTTCCTTAGGTCTTTAATTTTTCAATAAAATACACAAACATTACAAGAAGTTCAATAATTTGTAATTACCGTATACTTTGATAGTATATCAAACACTTCTTCAGGACGCCACAACCTACTGCGCTTCTCAAGATCAAATGGTGATTCCTCATAAATTATTTGTCTTCCCATGTCTCTCAACAAATCATGCATTTGAAGCTTGTTCCTATTGTCAACAGTTACAAGACTTCGCTCAATAAGAACTTTAATTCCAATATCAGCAAAAAATCCACACCCATTTAATATTTGTGTTACATCATTTCGGTCCATTCCAATAAAAAAACAAGCTATGTCAAGGAATGCTTGTTTCTCTGTGATATCTTTTAAACCATCAAAACTTACTTTTAGCTTCTTATGTACTTGATTATGGGGAATACATTTTAGTTTTTCCAAAACTTTCTGCCACACTGGTATTTCACAGTCAGACAAATATGACCCAAGGACTTGAAGTGCTAGTGGCAATCCCCCGGAATAAGCAATCACATCTGTTGAATGTCTAGCAAAATCTTTTGTCGGTCTTGATTGCTTGAATGCATGCCAACAAAAAAGCTCAAGAGATTCATTTCCGTCCATTTCTTCTATTCTATGCACTTGATCAACTCTACACGAATTAAGAATATGCAAATCTCTTGTTGTGATAATTATTCTACTCCCCGGACCAAACCATTCACGACTTCCACACAAAGCATTTAGTTGGTCTACTTCATTCACATCATCAAGTACAAAAAGTATCCTATTTTGGGAAAGTCTTTCCTTCAAGATAATTTTCCCAGATTCGATGTCACGTATCTTGAATGTCATTGTTTTGTAAATATCACCGAGTACTTGTTGCTGTAAAGAAACTTGATTGTTTGTCTCCCAAATTTCCCTTATATTCAGAAGGAAGCTCTTTCCCTCAAACTTGCTTCCAATTTGATTATATATTGCTTTTGCAATGGTTGTTTTACCCATGCCCCCCATTCCCCATATCCCAAGAACTAAAACATCTTCTGATTTTTGGATATCTAGTAGTTTAGTTGCTGCTTCCACACGGGATTCTACACCTACTTGATGTTCAGCAACAAATAACTCTGTCCTATCTAGCAAACGGGAGACACTTTCAACAATATTCTTGACATCTCCACTTTCATTCCTATAAAATATGAACCAATGATAAGGTGTAAAATCAATTATATGTATGCATCCATCATAAGTGGGTGAATTACATACCAGTTAGATGCATAAATTTGAAAGAAAAATTTTATGACAATTTTTAAGAGAAAATCATTTGTAGAAGGACATGCATATTATTCCACCACCAAGGCATAAGAACTTAAAGTATCACAAACAATAGGTTTAGGAAAAATAAGAAAATAAATAAAATAACCTGGAATCTTTGAGTACAAACCCTGCTTTGCTACCAATATCGAAAAGGTCTCTTCTCCAGTTAGTCTTTGTGGATTCATTCACTGAGGTTGTTGATCTAAGTTCTTCAAAAGCTTTCCCAAACTGACCTTCCTGATGACGTACTTCAGCGGGATCTACCTCATAGAACACTGGCACAACATCCAGTCCCCTGGCTCTGCTAATTTCCATGATCCTTTCCAACTCTAGCATGCACCATCTTGAATTAGCATAGTTTGTAGTCAAAACAATGATAGAAATTCTAGACAATTCGATTGCTCGCAAAAGTGAGATTGAGATCTGATCTCCTCGTTGAATCTCATCATCGTCCCTGAAAGCACAGATACCTGCATTTTGAAGAGAAGAATAGAGATGTGACATGAACTTTGCACGACTGTCTTCCCCTCTGAAACTCAAGAACACGTCGTACATCTTGGCCTGAAACATCAAAGGAAAGAAGGGGAAATGAATAACAGCTTAGATATATGGTTAGTTGTGATGGCTATAAAACCAAATAATGAAAAACTGATTTCATTAATATTCTGTTTGGTTCCGGAAAACCATTCACTGATGATACATAAAGCTGATACGTTACCACTCACCTGATTAGTCCTACTGCTTGATTCTCTTTTAATGATATCTCTGGCCATGGCTTGTAGGAGAATATGCATTTCAAGCTTGTTATTCTCATCGATGGCAACAAGGCTCTTGTCTTCAAGAAGGCTTATTTGAAAAGCCGCCCTTTGCGTTGACCTATTTAACGTTTGGAGTACATCATTTTGGTTCTTCCCAATAAAGAAACTTGCTATATCCAGGAATGTTTGTTTCTCGTTATCACTCAACTCATTAAAACTCTTTTCTAGAATATTCAGTAGTCGTGGAGCCGGAATAGAAAAATTTTTGAGACTCCATAACACACCTTCCCACTGAAGGGCTTCCTTTCCATGCAAAAGCCTCCCAAGGGCTATAAGAGCAAGAGGCCATCCCCCAGAATAAGCAACTACCTGTCTGGAAAGTTCATCAAAATTTTCTGGACTTGTTTCTTTGCCGAATGCACCCCACTTGAAAACATCAAGCGATTCACTTTCATCCAGTTCTTTCACTCTATATATATGGTCAACTCCATACTCCTTGAGTAAACGTCTATCTCTTGTCGTGATGATTATTTTGCTACCTGCACCAAACCAGTTACGACTTCCACACAACGCATTTAGCTGTTCCAATTTATTAACATCTTCAAGTATAACAAGTACCCTTTTATTTCGAAGGTTTCTTTTTAAAGTCACTTTTTCAAATCCAGTGGCTTTGTTGACATGAAAAAGAAGCTCTTCCTGTAAAGAAACTGGACCGTTATTTCGTCCCCAAACTCCACCAACATTAAGGAGCATGCACTTGCCCTCAAAATAGGGACCAATCAGATCATAAATGGTTTTGGCAATGGTTGTTTTACCAATCCCTGCTATCCCCCAAATCCCTATTACGAGAGGAGATTTTGATTGTTTCAATAGTTGAATCACATCTTGCACACTAGATTTTACACTAGGTGTATAGAAAGTCCTCGACAATTCTGGTCTTTTTTTGTATATCACAGAAATAACACGATCAACTACACTCTTGACACAATCATACTCGTCCCTGTAATATATGAACAAAAGATGAAATAGAAGAATTATTAGATGTATAATAATTGACCAACATCTGCATGGGATAAAAAGGAGGGAACTAATAAGGTGAGAGGTGTAAATAAAATTCTCATCTATCTTAAAATTAATTTATGTACTAACTAGGAAACATTTCTATTTTTTATTTTTTTAAATATGTATTTATTTTAATTAACTAATAAAAAAGATGTTAGATGAGTAACGTTTAACTCAATCAGCCATATCAATATTATTAAGTTGAATATTTTTATGATGTTCTGGATTCCAATATGAAATCTTTTACTTTTTTTTGTGCAAAGTTATACTAATGATTGTCACTTTGTCTATAAATTAAAAGTAAATATGAGACTTATATTATTGTGAGGGAAAAAGATGAAATGTTTGCTTAAAAGAACATGAATGTGGTAGTAAAGCATTATCTTTTGCCTTTTTTGGCGTAGTGGTAGTAAAGCATGAATGTGGCTAAAAGAGAAAAGCATCTTTGATTGAATTCTATTACAATAACATATTTGTCTATTTTTAGAAGTAAAGAAAACAATTATTTTGACATGTTTACTATTTTAAACAAAGTTAGGACTTTTATAAAAAATAAAGTAATTTTTGTTGGTGCATTAAGGAGAGATAAAATACATAAGAAATATATCTAATTACGACGGCTATAAAAATAAGGAATAATGATTTACAATGAATTACATTGACCTACCTCATTAAGCTATTTATACACAAAATTAGGGTATAATAAAATCATAAATATCCTCTAACAAAGATATAAAAAGATCTAAAAAGATATTCATAAAATATAAATTAATATCTAAAAATATAAATTAATTCTAACATCATCCCTTAATTTATATTTACTCAAAACTGACAACACCAATTTCATCCTTCAAACGAAGAGATTGGTCAGTCTTGACAGCCTTTGTTAGAACATTTGTCAGCTGCTTCTGGGTGCTACAGTGCACAACTTCTAATATTCTATTCTGAACCTGATTTCTCAGAAAGTGATACTTGGTCTCAATGTGTTTGCTTCTCCCATGCAGCACTGGGTTCTTGGCAAGATTGATTGGAGGCTTGTTATCAATCATCAGCTTCAGAGGTTTATTTACCTCAATCTTCAGATCTTGTAGCAAGTTCAGAAATCACACAACTTGGCATGCAGTCAGAGCGCCTGCAATATATCCAGCTTCACATGCTGATAGCGCAACAACATGTTGCTTCTTGGAACACCAAGAAATAGGACCTCCCATAAATTTGAATAAGTACCCAAAAGTACTTCTTCTGGCGACTCTATCTCCACACTAATCAGAGTCTGAATAACTCATAAGTTCTGATTCAATCTTTCTTTCAGACGGAAATAACTCTCCATACTTCAGAGTTCCCTTCACATACCTCAGAATCCTGATAGCAGCTTGGTAATGAGACCACTTTTGTTTACTCATAAATTTGTTAACCATTCCAACTGCATAGCAAATATCAGGTCTGGTATTACACAAATACTTCAGAGAACCAACCATCTGTTTGAAGGTTGTAGCATCCACATCCTCTCCATCAGAATCAGATTCAAACTTCTGATTCGTATTAGCAGGTGTGATAGCAACTTTGCAATTCTCTAGCTCAAATATCTTTAGGAGCTCAAGTTCATACTTCATCTGATGCAAAATGATTCCTTTCTCAGAGTACATAAATTCCATCCCTAGAAAGAAACTCATTTTCCCAAGATCTGTCATCTCAAACGCATTCACCAGAACTCTCTTGAACTCAACTATCTCTTGTTCAGAACTTCCTGTGAGTAATATGTCATCAACATACAAACAAACCAGAATCATATTACCTTCTGAAGTGTGCTGAACATAAACACCATACTCCATCTCACACTTCTGAAACCCCTATCCCTTGAAAAATGAATCAATATTCAAATTCCAGACTCTGAGCGCTTGCTTCAATCCATACAAGGCTTTGTGTAATTTGAACACCATCCCTTCCTGATTCTTTTTCTCAAATCCAGGAGGTTGTGATACGTATACCTCTTCTTGTAATGGACCATTCAGAAATGCAGATTTTACATCTAAGTACATCAGAGGCCAATTCCTGTTAGCAGCTATTGCAATCACTAATCTGATTGTTTCATGTCTCCCTACAGGTGCAAACACTTTAGAGTAATCCAGCCCATGCTTTTGTAGAAAGCCTCTTGCTACTAATCTTGCTTTGTGTTTGCCAATTGATCCATCTGGCTTTAGCTTCTGCTTGAAAACTCATCTGACGCTGATGGCTTTCTTGCCTTTTGGAAGTTCTGTCAACTTCCACGTCTTATTTCTCTCTATAGCATCAAGTTCTTCTTTCATGGTCTGCAACCAGACTTGCTGCTTAAGAGCCTCTTTCGTACTCACGGGTTCAGAGTCTACTAACATTGCACACTGAATAACTTCTCCTTTGGAGTCTACTTCAGTGTCTTGTAACATGTCAAACTCTGCAAAATTTCTTGGGATGCTTCTGACTCTTTGTTACCTCTGAATTTGAACTTCATAACCTCGGACACCAGAACTTTCCTCTTCAGAAGCTCTTGCTTCAGAAATTTGAATTTCTCCTGAACTTTGATTGTCTTCAGAGTCTAGAAAATTCCTAGAGTCTGAATCACCATTGGAGTCAGAGTCAGAATCATCTTATCCTTTTGTATCTTCTTCAGAGTCAAAGTCTTTACCAGCTTTAGAAACATGTGTTTCTGACTTTTTTCAGGAGCTCTCTCATCAGAGTCAGGACGAGACCTTTCCCAATTCCAAACTTATGATTCTTTTAGAATGACGTCTCTGTTGAACTCAACTTTGTTAGTTTCTGGACAATAAAGTTTGTACGAACCTGTACTGTGGTACCCCACCAGTAACATTACTTTACTTATATCATCCAGCTTCTGTCTTCTAGCTTCTGGGACATATTTGTAACATACAGAACTAAACACCTTCAGATGACTAACACTTTTCTTATCTCCAATCCACTTCTGAATAGGAACTATTTCCTTCAAGTTCTTAGTTAGACATTTGTTGAACACATAACATGCAGTGGCAATAGCTTCTCCCCACAGAGTATGAGAAAACTTCTTCTCTTTCAGCATGCTTTTCACCATATCAAGCAAAGTACGGTTTCTTCTTTCAGCAAGACCGTTGTGTTAAGGAGTATAGGGAGCAGTAACCTCATGCTCAATTCCATTCTCCTCACAAAACCTTCTGAATTCTGTGGCGTTATACTCACCACCACCATCAATTCTAAGAATCTTCAGAGTCTGGCCACTCTGATTCTCAACCTTCAGTCTGAACTTCTTGAATTCAGCAAACACCTCATGTTTGAACTTTATGAGAGATACCCATGTCATTCTGGTGAACTCATCGAGGAATGACACAAAGCATTTATTTCCTCCAGTTGATGCTATTGGAAATGGACCGCACACATCAGAATGCACTACTCCCAAGGCATGCTTTGCTCTTGGAGCTACTTCTGATGCAAACCGTAATCTTGGTTGCTTCCCTTCCATGCACACCTTGCATGACTTCTCAGGCTTCTTGATTGTAGGAATTCCATGTACCAGCTTCTTTGATTTTAGATGCCTTAAGCTTCTGAAATTCAGATGACCAAATCTTCTGTGCCCCAGCTCACTCTCCTTGACAACACTTGTCGCACTAAGGCATTCAGAGTATGTAGTTTTAAGATTCACCTTGAATGTTATGTTCCTTCCCTGTTCTGACACCATAATCAGCTTCTGATTACAGTCATACAACTTCAGAAGATTGTCCTTCATGGTAACCGAAAAACCTTTCTCAATCAGTTGTCCCACACTCATCAGATTGCTTTTCATGCCAGATACATACCATACATTCTGGATCGCTGCTTCTTTCCCATTGTTTAGAATGATTCTGACATTTCTCATACCTTCTGCATTGAGGTATTTATCATCAGCACATCTGATCTTTGTACTCTTCCCAGAGTAAAAATCAACCAACTATTTCTTGTTTCCAGTAAGATGGTTTGAACATCTTGTGTCCATATACGACCATTCTGATGAATTCGGATCATCAGGTTCAGAAGCCAATAATAGCACAGGTCCATCATCAGACTCTCCTCTGGCTATATTTGCTTCTTTTGACTTCCTTTCTTTGTTTGACCAGTAATCTTTGGTATAGTGACCAAAGTTCTTGCAACAGTAACACTGAATATTCTTCTTGTCAGACTTCTCATTTCTCTTCTGAACATTCTTCTGCCTATCAGCATTTGAAGCTTCTAACCTTTGACCACCATTAGTTTTCTTCCTGGCTTCTACCAAGTCTGCTTATGATACTTCTTATCAGAAGTTACTTTCAGAGCATGCTGCTCTACTTCCCTCTCAGAAGTTCTCGCAGTCATATGCAACTCATGCGCCTCTAGACTACTTTGCAGCTCTTCAACTCTCATGGTGTTCAGATCTTTGGAATGTTTAATTTCTACCATAATGTAATCAAATTGAGAAGTTAAAGATCTCAACGATTATTTGTTCAGAAAGAGTTTCTCCACAAGCTTTCATCTCATTAGTGATCAGAATCACTCTAGAGATGTACTCAGAAACCTTCTCGTTGAGATTCTCATATTGCTTTCTGAGAGACCGAAGCTTCACCTTTTTCACTGATGCATCACCACCGTAACATCTGACCAGTGTGTTCCACGCAGCCTTCGCTGTTTCAAAATCAGCAATCTTCTCAAACACATTCGCATCCACACATTGATGGATGTAGAACAACGCCTTCTGATTTTTTTTCCTTAGCGCCCTTTGTGTTATCTTTCATGTCTCGGTTGCGTCTGCTTCTAACAGATCATAACCATCGGTGACAAGATCTAACACATCTTGAGAACCAAATAACACACGCATCTGGATCTTCCAGCGATTTCAGTTTTTGCCATCAAATACTGGAAGCTTGGAATGGATATCGCCGCCATTTCCGTTTATCTTCTACCTTGTGCAATTTACGTAGAAACTCAATAATGCAGTGTTTCCCAAATCCCCAGAATCAGAAACAACAATTATCAATCACACAACACCTCATTGTTCTCTCTTGTTTCCAATGTTTCCCTGTGGATTTCTAACCGGAGCTCTAGATACCAATTGTTGGCGCACAAAAGAGAGATGAAAGGCAAAAGGAATATATTTAATGGCGACTACAAAAATAAGGAATACTGATTTACAATGAATTACATTGACCTACCTCACTAGGCTATTTATACACAAAATTATGGTATAATAAAATCTTAAATATCCTCTAACAAATATATAAAAAGATCTAAAAAGATATTCTAAAAATATTAATTAATATCTAAAAATATAAATTAATTCTAACAATTTTGTCAATATAAAAAAATAAACTTTATCATAATTCATTTCTCTCCCCTCTCTCAATTTGAGAGAACGAAAAACTACTTCAAAAATGTGTTTGTTTAGAAGAGAAGTTGTGAAGAGAAAAATATATAAAAGAGAGCGTGTAAAGAGAGAAGAATAATAGTAATATAGTAGATTTGTAATATTGATTGGTATGAGAATTGGAAAGAAAGATATAATTGTTTTTGAAATGATAAAAAAGACCATAATACTTGTTACAATTCAATGTGAAATTGGTGTGATTGGTATCAATTTCTTCGGTCAATTAAAGAGAAATATAAAGGTGGTGGGGTCCACATGTTTTTATTCTTTATTTGCAAATTCTCTTCTATCCAATCAAGAGAAGTGTAGGACATCTCTTCTCTTTTTCTCTTCACTAACTCTCTCTTCTCTCCTCTCCCTCAAAACCCCAACCAAAAGGACCCTAAGAGTGATCTTCGTATACATGAACGAAGCTAAACTTACTTAAAAAACCATAAAAAAAGTAATAATAATAATAATAAAATTTAAAATGAAACAAAGTTAAAACTTAAAAATTACCCGTCCATGGGTGCGAAATCGGTTGGATATTGGGTAGATTTACTCATAGCTTCCACCAAAGTCATGATCTTGTCTTCACCTTGGGAGATTTCTTTGATCGAAACTCTATCGAGAAAGTTGTGAAAAGGCTGTCCAAATATACCTATTTGCAAACTTGGCTCGATGGGATACAAGACAGGCAGAACAATAAGAGCAGGTATAGTTAGGCAACACTGGGTTATGAACTCGAGTTCTTGAAGACACGATTGTGAATTAGTATAATTTCTTGAAAGTATGATTATGACCATTTTGCAGTCTTGAATTACATTAAGAGATAACTCTGAAGGCGCGGTTACGGTTACCCGACCAATATGTCGAAGCTTGACAAAGTCAAAGAAAATAAGAGCTTCTGGAACATAGGAAGAAAGAGCCTCACGGAGTTTCAAAACAAAAGGAACATCGTCGTGAACACCGCAGAAACTCAAGTAGAGATCGTAGCTCTTCTTCCCCTTTGGATTAGCAGTAGTATCAGTAGTAGACATGGTTTGGACTGTAGACCGTAGATGGACGAAGAAATGACTGGATTTAGTGAGAGAGAGAGAGAGGGGGCACGATAATAAGGTTAGGTTCGGGGATAGGCTGTTAATGACTAGTCAACAACATCCTCTCCTATCTATATATACACACGTGTGTGAATTGAGAATATTTTATTATGTTTGGTTTAGCGGTACAGAATAGAGAATCACGGTAGAAGCTCCCTTTTTCAAGGTACAGAATACAGAATAGCTTCCTTTTGGAGCTTCTCTTTTTTACGGTAGGATTGCCCTGGGAAACGGATTAGCTAACTTTTGCGCGGGAAAGGCACCGTGCCTTTCAATAATTTTCTGTCGTTTGATCAATCGTACGTTTTAGAAAGTGCCACGTAGGCAACTCTTTTTTTTAAAACAATTAAAAATCTGCAACAAAAAAAACCCAAAGTTTCAGTACAAAAATTCATAACTCCTCCGCGTTTCTTCCACCATAGCTGCTTGTTTTTTTATTCTTTAAGATTGATAGAACCATGATGTTTCTGCATAATTTATTACACGTTTCTGCTTCTTATTTTCTCAATCCTTTTTCACATGGATGTTGTGGGTTCCTGGCCAACAACCTTCTTCCTGTCAACTCAGCGGAGGTGAAGAGGCAGAACATCGGTGGTGGGTTGGAAACAACAAAGAGGCAAGATGAGTTAAGATGAAAGGGTAGTGTTAGTCAAAGTCTATTTATTTTTTAATTAATTCAGTCCACGTTTATTAATAAATCCTACTTCTAAGAGATGTTAGATTCTTTAGGAGGAAATCCTATATTTTAGAATCAGTTTCTTTTATTTCTATTTTATTGCAATGTAGTACTGGTTTTTAACTATTTTTTTGTTGTAAAGGCTATATAAATTTGTTTTCAATTTCTAATGAATAATATAGCTTTTACGCTCTCAATATTATTATTTCTAGTTCTAACAATTGCTATAAGAGCTCCACAACGGGTCTGGTATTGTTTGGGGAATGTGAGTGTGTGAGAGGGGAAACACTAAGGGATTAAAGTGTGTGTGAGAAGAAAGACCAAAGGATCAACATGTCTACATCTGAAAAGTTCGTACAATCGGCCATTCCAAAGTTCGATGGTTATTATGATTTTTGGGCAATGACGATGGAGAATTTTCTACAAAGTAAAGAGTTGTGGAACCTCGTAGAAGAAGGGATCCCGACACCAGCAATTCGAACAGCAACAACAAGTGAAGCGCAGAGGAAGAGCGTGGAAGAGGCCAAACTTAAAGATCTGAAGGTCAAAAAATTTCTGTTTCAAGCTATTGACAGAGAAATTTTGGAAACGATTCTTGACAAGGGAACTTCAAGGGCAATATGGAGGTCCATGCAGCAGAAGTATCAAGGATCCACAGAGGTGAAAAGAGCACAACTTCAAGCATTGAGAAGAGAATTTGAGCTACTGACCATGAAAGAAGGCGAGAAGGTCGATAGCTTCTTGGGACAAACTCTTCATGTGGTAAACAAGATGAGATCAAATGGTGAAACAAATGGAGCAAAGTACGGTGGTTAGCAAGATACTCAAATCTTTGACCCCTAAATTCAATTATGTTGTGTGCTCAATAGAGGAATCAAATGATTTGAGTACCTTGAGTATTGATGAACTGCGTGGCAGCCTCCCTTGTTCATGAGCAAAGAATGCATGGGTTTCAGACAGAGGAACATGTATTGAAAATAACCAGTGATGATAGATTAATCAGAGGCAGAAGAGGTAGAGGTGTATTTCAAGGAGGACGTGGCAGAGGAAGAGGAAGACTATCTCTAAACAAAGCAATCGTTAAGTGCTTTAAATGTCACAAGTTGGGTCACTTTCAGTATGAGTGCCCTGACTGGGAGAAGAAGGCCAATTATGCGGAGCTGGAGGAAGAAGAAGAACTCTTATTAATGGCGTATGAAGAGATGCGTCAACCTACACAAGAAGAAGCTTGGTTCTTAGACTCCGGGTACAGCAGTCATATGACGGGAAACAAAAAATGGTTTTCAGAAATGGAGGAAGGATTTTGCAGAATCGTGAAGCTTGGAAATGATACAACAATGAATGTCGTGGCAAAAGGAAGCATATGTATGCAAATGAATGGCATTACTCGGGTAATATCCGATGTTTACTTTGTTCATGAGCTTAAGAACAATTTGCTAAGCTTAGGACAACTCCAAGAAAAGGGGTTGGCAATTTTAATTCAAAATGACACTTGCAAAGTATTTCATTCGGATAAAGGATTAATTATGCACACTAGTATGAAGGGAAATAGGATGTTCTATTTGACAGCTTCTGCAACACCAAACAAAAATCCCATGTGTCTACAAGCTGAAACGGTGTCAAAGAAAGAAACTCAATTGTGGCATTGTCGCTTTGGACACCTTAACTACAAGGGGCTCAATACACTCTCAGGCAAGAAGATGGTCATTGGATTACCTTCCCTAAAGTCACCAAAGAAGATATGCACTACATGCCTAATTGGAAAACAACATAGAGAGTCGATATCAGAGAAAATCTCATGGAGGGCCTCGAAAAAGCTTCAGCTAGTTCATGCGGATATTTGTGGTCCGATCACGCCATCTTCAAACAGTAACAAGATGTGTTAAGCTTTATTGATGACTTTACTCGTAAAGCTTGAATTTATTTCTTACATGAAAAATCTGAAGCATTTGGTAGGTTCAAAAATTCCAAGGCATGTTGTGATACAGTGGCAGAACCGGAACTGTTTGAATGCTGGTTTGCGTTTTACGTTTGTGTTTGCAAAATGTCGCGGTAAGCAAGAGTCGCCATCGACTTTTATTTTATCCAACAGGAAAGGAAAAAAGCACAGAAAAATTCCTTTTTCGAGATATTCTGAGTACGGGGGTAGATTATAGAAAGGGAAGGTATTAGCACCCTTTCTATCCGTAGTTTTCTACGGGCTCTTAGGTACTTGCTCATCATATTCAAAATTGCTTGTGTGTGTTTGATTTGAAAAAAGTTTTTGTTTGACTTCGATTTAACCCTTGCTTCTGTCTTCAAGAGTGTTACGAAGTCGTTTTGAAAACTGTTTTGAAAGTTTTTGCGTGAAAGAGTTTGTTTGGATTGAGCAAGTACCTACTAGCATCTACCTACTCGAAAAAAAGAATTGTTCTATGTTTGTTTCCTTTAGACAGTGCTATCCCACTATTAATGAGTAGGTATCACCGTCATTGGAGTTGTAAGGGTCAATTCGAAAGGGACGTATGATCACTTAAAGCAATGCTATGACGTCTTAGTAATAACCCTAATGTCTTAAGATCAATATTCGAGGCAACAATTCTGAGGCAACTTTTTCGAGGCAACTTTGATCTTTTGTTTAGACAAGAGGGAGACCACTAAAATACCCTATACTCAATGATCGTTTACCGAAGGCAACCAAAGTGGGAGTATACCTTAGGAGTGCGCATGTGCGAGTGATTCAATTTCAAGTTTATTATCTTTGCACATTTAGGGTTTGCTAACCGTTTTAATTTTAACATACATTCTTGTCATGCAACCCTAATATTCATACATCTAACGGTTAATATTTGCGGAATTTAAAGTGCGGAAAGTAAAGCTACACTATTACAAGGCTTCGGGTATTAATTACATAGCCAAAAAAACCCGCTAAAACGATAAATAAACGGAGAAAGTCCTAATTAATCTATTACATCTTGTGAGCAGTTACATCAATATTACAAAAATAAAACAAACGCGCGCGAGGAATTAAGAGCGAGAAAAGTTAGGGTTTTGACCCCGTCTATCCTAATAAAAAAAAAGAAATATTTTTTGGTTGTTTTTTATTATTTTAAGAAAAAAAGAATAATGTTTTAAATTAAATACAAATCTAATTAGTAATTAAATTAAATTAATGAAAATAATTTACATGATCTATTTTTGTATTTTGTTATTTTTTTAGAAAAAGGAAATAAGAATTCTATTAAACTAAAACCCTAATTTTCTAATTGTTTTTAATTTATTTGCAAAAGAAATTAAAGTTACCTAAAATTAAATAAACTAATTAATTAATTTTTTTTATATAAAAAACCTAAATCTAATTTGGTGAAATATTGATTTTGTGATTTTATAAAAAAGAATTAATTTTTGTTAGCAAAAATAAGTTAAATGAATTAAATAAGGAAAATATAAAAAGAAAAGAAAGTAGGAAATGGGCCTGTAATCAGCAAATTGGGGTGTGTCAAAAGAAGATTCTGGGCCCAAGAGCAAGGGTCCATGTTAACTTCCTGAATTCCATATTGCGCGTTGACTGGGTCACATGATAGATCCTTCAATGATGGCTCTCAGATCTGGCTTCCTGAAGATCCAATGGTTGGATCCTGAGGGCACATGGTGGTCCTTTGGCCTGTGCAAGTACATGATTATACAAGAAACAATAAAATTGAAGAATATGGGGGACCTGGGATTCGAACCCAGGTCCTGAGGCCTTTTCCAACTGCCTTGTCACCAACTGTGTTGCGTGCTTTTGTTGTATACAAAATAAACAATAATCATTATATTGAAAACAAGTGAAATAAAGAAACCTCCGAGTGAAAATTCAAATGGGCGAGTAGGGTGATGCCACGCCATCATCCTTGTCCTCTCTCCGTGGCTAAAAGGTTTAATGACCTTTACCTACAGATAAACGTCCGTCACTACAAACCCTGCATATCTCAAAATCAAACACAAGCATGATAAACAAAATCTAATGCCATGAATCGAATCGCCTTGGCCTGCTGAGCATTATGGTGCCCTTCTTGTGGACCATTTTTACCTGTGTAAAAAGACCCTAAAACAAGACCAAGAACCCTAGCAATGGTGGATTCTGATATAGCTTCCAAAAATGCAATTAAATGATGCTATTAGCTTGCAAACATGCCAAGGGTTACAAATATGCTCTTAAAACATGATGAAGATGCCAAAATAATAAGATTCGATTTTGGAAATAAGAGCAAACCGTGGACCACTTACAGTGAGTTCTAGCGCG